ACTGGTACTACTACCCTTACACCCAACTATTTCATCATTATCTTCTTCTTCACTGCCACTTCATTCAAATTCAGAGAACTTGAAACAGTAACTGCAGTTTCGTCTACATTTACTTCCGGTCTTGCATTCATTATGATGGTTAGGTTATTATACACGTAAATAAACAAAAAGATCACTAGCACGAGTCAAATACTTGATATTATATGTACAAATCACTTAATTACAGTACTTCTACTATTTAAAATTGTAAAACGTTGACACATGGCAAAAAAAATACGCTCTAATCACTGAATCAATTAACAACATGCATAACCTTCAAATGCTCCGAACTGGGTAGCAGTATAGTGCATACCAACAAAAATAATTTACCATAAGTCAAATAACGCAGCGAAAGAAATTGATAGGGGCCAAAATAAAATGTTGCATTACACCTATTATTGATTTTATCTGTGCACTTTAGCCGAATGTAACAGCAATAGGGTTAATATGGAGATCTGAAATGGTACACTGTGGTCCATATTCGAAAAATAGGAATTTTTCTCTCCATAAAATTTTTAAAGAACGAATGGTGTCTGAATAAAACTTGTATTCGGTGTGGTAGTGATGACTACTGAACCACTTACTTGATTATGTAGCACAGACCTTCCTGAGAAGCCAACAGTCGATAAGCCATTGAAGTTCCCATTTTATGGAACCCGAAGATTCATTGCCATGTTCGCAAGAACCAGCCACTGGTCTCTGTCCTGGGACAGATGAATCCAATCTATACCACCCTATCCTATTTCCCTAAAATCGATTTTAATATTATCCCCTCGCCTACACTACTGAACTAATGCAAACCGGAAACATACAAAGTTCGTATGTAGTTCAACTGAGATATAGAAATTTTCTTTAAAAGGTTAGGTTAGGTTTATAAATTATCTTCCTGAAACTTACCATAAACAACTGCTAAACTTCCTACTAGCATCCTTAAATTTAACGTCACTAATTAATTTCCCCACAAAAATTCAAAATTACTCATTATGCCACTGACTATGGATTTGTAGACAATAACAGGAAAGATCATATTTTTATTAAACCAGTGATAAATGGGCTATCTGATCATTATGTACAACTTCTAGTCATAAGAAATACAGATTCAATCTCCAATTATCATAATTACAGGAAACTAAAGTCTTATAAATGAAGACACTGCCACAGAATATATAACACACCTAAGAAATAAAAACTAGGACTCAATATGTAACAGCCATGACAATACAACCATAACAACAGAAGATCTTAAAAATTGTGTGCTAAATATTTAAACTGAAATGATTATTACTTTACAATTTTATGTTACTTTAATTTTATTTACATCAATACATGTGATCAGGTTTACAAAAATAATTAAACCACATTAAAATGATGAAGTAATTTAATACATTACAAAAATTATGAGATACATGGAACACTTTGTGACTTACATATCCAACCCCCTCCCATCCCAATAGAAATCCTCTTCCAGACAAAATAAAATCAACTTTCTTTGTACTGAACAGGTTCAACACCATAGCCAACAGTGGGCTCTTTACCCCGATCATCCACGCTCACCTAACACAGCACGTAATAACGTCATATCAAAAGTTTAACGCACAGCAAAGAAATGATGACTGGACTCATGATTATGCAGCTGTCATTATCAGCTAACACTCCAGGTAAGCCGCAATCATTTCTGAGCAGTCCTCATACTATGGATACAAGAAAGACTTCCGTTGAAGACACCGCATTCCGGAAATTGCACCGTGTAGTCTTGTAGATGCTGACTGACATTTCCATGTGCAGAGAACAGGAGCAGGTCAGACTGATGGTTGAGGAGGGAGGTTCGAGATGAAGACAGCAGGAAAAGGAGCAAGTGCGACAAAGGGGGTGACCACAACCTCGCTCTGTCTGCCCTAACCTTGATTCTCCCTTCCCTCATCCAGCAGTCTCTTTCCCACGCACAGCATTACACACTCCAGTGAGACTCCACAGCGTAATATCCCAGAAGGCCACCATCTTCATACCCACCTCTGATCGGGAGCGTTTATTTTTTCAGACATTTGTCGTTCAGTGTCGATTGAGCACAAATAATTATGGTCTGTGGTGTGAAATTAGTTCAGGATAAAGCAAATTAAATAATTACAACTGTCTTGGGGAACTATTAATTATGTAGTTGTTGGTCTCTATGTTTCCCTCCTCTTTTCCACTTGATTGCGTTTCTACAGTTTGCAACCCCTCATCACGAACATCTCCATTAATCGGCATCACTCGATCTCCATTATCCGCTTGTCCTGGGCACTCCACTTGCTCAGATCTGGACACAAATCACATACAGACTCAATCATAATTAAGCCATATAACATTTCTATAGTTTTTATCTAATTAAGTCTACATGCTTTTTAGAAAACATAAGTTTGAAGGGTAACTGCTAATTACATGCCAAAAGTCTTATCTTACGAGTCATTTATGTTAATCCACTTAACAAGATTTAAGTATCTCACTGAAGAGTAGTCCCATTTCTGGTAATTTTCTCAATTCCATTGTCTTATAACAGATGAAAATAATTACAATCTATTTTTACGTGCATGCCATATCGAATGCAGAAGGCAACAGTTGTGTCCAATGAGAAGTGGGCCTTAGGAAAAATTAAAGAAAATGAAACATCTGGAATTAAATAAGAAATCTCACCTGCTGTGGGCGTGCAGATGGCAGCCAGGAGCAGGAGTAGTACAGTCACACAGTCTCTCTTGTCTCTTCAGCGTAAATTTCTCATTCTGCTCAGAAAAAGATAGAGGAAATCATTTCCTTGAAATAATGTGCTCAATTAACACCTAGATCCTTCCTAATGCTTATATCAGTCAAAAGTGACTTCGAAGAAGAAAGTGGAAGCTCGACAGACAGACAACATACGGCACAATAAAGCCGTTCTCATTCCAGAAGTGCACGTATCTCACAAGACTTCCTATCCTACGAGACACTTCTAACCAGTCTGTATTAGATTTGGTTCATTAACAAATAATAAAACATTAGTCAGATTGGAGGTTCACACAGCAGCGAGTGTGAAAATGGCTGTCTTCCAGGTTGTAGCACGATGTAGTCTGATGGAAGTTTACCTGTTGTAATGCCGTTCAGTCGACTTACAAGTTTCCTTCTACCTGATCACACCATGCTACAAGCCGGAAGACAGCCATCATCTCACGTCATTACCAACAACAACAGCTGAAAGTTAGGACCGTGGCTGGTTCTGACTCAGAAGGAACCTTTTCTTCTTCTAGGACACCCTAGAACTCCGTGCCCAGTCAACTTGCACGTTTATAAATTCACAGATGATTAACATTTTCATCCCTACGTACCACACACCAAAATGTAAGACGGAGTATTTGTTCTGACCTTAGTAAATCTGTCACTCTCCGGGATATCCTGAACGGCGTCGACATGCGCCTTGTCATTAACACGTGGCAGGTATGGCATATCGATGGCTTTTTGTTCCACACTTGCCCAGTTGATGCCCTGCAGGATGAAGCACAAATGTCAGTGGTACGAGCCAGATAAAGAGTGGGAACACAACCAGTTTACAAAAACCTTCAGTTCTGGAGAAAGTACACAAATTTTGAAGTGAAGTTCTCTGCGTGGCTATAAACTTTGGCCTACACGATAAGTTCTTTAATCACTCTATGGGGGAAGGGGTGCTATTTTTTAACATAGTGGGTATGACATTTGGAAATGCCATGCGTTATCATCTGCTTAGCCACAGCAGATGTGATGACTTCCACATACATGAAAGATAAGTCACGTACTTAAGTCCTTCTTCTCAGTCATGCATATTACTAAGGTCTTCTGTTGTTTTGAATCCAAGTCCTTCGTTGTCAAAATCATTCAATTAGGGAATGAAGAAATACATCAT